TGGGGAGGGAGAGCATGAGCGAGCACTGAGGAGACCACAGGAGGAGACAGGAAGACAGGCGAAGAGCCATGCTGGAGCACATACACTTTCCCCGGATCAGCTATGTAAAAATTCAGCCCAGCTTCACTGATTACAGGTTTGAAAAGGCAACGTGGCTCCGCCTGCAATCAAACTACACTTGGGGAGGGAGAGCACAAGCGAGCCAGGGTCCTTCCCTCCAGCCTTTGGCCAAAGCCCCGCACAGCACCTGAAGGATGAAGTTTGAATTCCTCCCCCTCTCTCTGACCCACATGTACCTTTTTCAGCTGCTTCAGAGAGGGCTTCAATGCTGAGGTCCTCTGAAGAAGCCTCTTCCTTCCTTCCACAGCTGGAACAGGTTCTAACTGGCACAGTAGATTTGTGAAACCTCTTCTACCAAACTGGTTAAAACCGGCAGGAACCCACCCCTGGTTTAAAGTTACAACAGTATTGAAAAAGTGACATAAGACAGCTTTTCACACTATATGACGGTTGTAGCATTCCTATGGTCCCAAGGTCAGGTATTTATGACAGTTGCAATGTCCTGGGCTCATGTGATTTCACTTAACAACTGTCTTGTCTAACAATGGGAATTTTGGACTCAGTTGTGGTTGTATTATCTGTATATAAACTATCAAGCGATATAATTAGGACATTAAATCCCAACCCAGGAAAACATCTATCTTCTATATATTTTAAAGCATTTTTTAAAAAATCTAGGTAAATTAAAATGTGATGTTAGGCTATAAATATGGACATCCTAACAAATTAATTTACATATTTGGCATCTGGAACTGCTTCTAAAGTTTTTAGTTCCAAATGAAAAACATGCAATAAATGAATTGAAACAACACTTGATAAATGAAAACAGCAACACCTGAGGGCAACATTCTTTAACAGTCAGAATGACCAGAAACATAGATATGGCTATGCTAAGAGCTCTGTTAAAGAAATATAGAGCAGAATTCTTTATTTACATATGAAATGGACCTTTCAGAAGTTTGCAAATGATCTGTTTCTGCTTGTTGAATAAATTTGAGGCTGTTCTGTCTATTTATCATTGTTTAAAAAGTTACACTGTGAAAGTAATGTATTATTGAGATGTATAGTATTTGTAAGCCTGCTCTTGGGTTGATAAATCATGTCTAGTGCCTGTAGAAATCCAAAGAATGAATTGTTTTGTTATAACCTTGAGGGGTCTTAGATTAGTCAGTTTGTCTATTAGACTTACTTCAGTGTAATTCTCACTTCATTTATTCCTTCTGTTCTTGAAAGTCAGGATGCTGCACATTTGTTGCCAGGGCTTCATGTCATTAGTCATTTCAGAAAACCAAAATATCAGACTGGCCTCCATAATCTTTTGCATTTTTTAAAAAAAGGTTTAAATAATCTGACTGTCATATTTAATTAATATATCGTCTGCTTCCTATTTATATTAAATAGGTGCATGGGTCTAAAGAGCAAATGCTCAAGCTCACAATAATGTCCACTTCCCCAGGATCAATAAGTTAAAGCCATTCCCCATATAGTAGGACAAGATGTCCATATGTCCAGGCACCTCAATAGGACCTGGATCAAAGAGGCATGAAATTCGGAATGAATTT